GACTTGAAGGATGCAGGGGTAGTGATTCCCAGCACATGCCATTCAATTCGCCTATTTGGCCTGTGTAAAAAACAAATGGATCTTGGAGAATGACAGTAGATTATCTAAAACTTAACCAGGTGGTGACTCCAATTGCAGCTGCTGTTCCAGATGTAGTTTCACTGCTTGAGCAAATTAATACATCTCCTGGTACCTGGTATGCAGCTATTGATCTGGCTAATGCCTTTTTCTCCATACCTGTTTCAAAGGACCACCAGAAGCAGTTTGCCTTCAGCTGGCAAGGCCAGCAATACACCTTCACTTGCCTACCTCATGGCTACATCAACTCTCCAGCCCTATGTCATAATTTAGTCCGCAGGGACCTTGATCACCTTTCCCTTCCACAAGACGTCACACTGGTCCATTACATTGATGACATTATGTTGATTGGACCTAGTAAGGAAGAAGTGTCAATGACTCTGGACTTATTGGTAAAACATTTGCATGCTAGAGGGTGGGAAATTAATCCCAGAAAAACTGAGACATCTTCCACTTCAGTGAAATTTCTAGGAGTCCAGTGGTGTGGGGCATGTTGAGACATTCCTTCTAAAGTGAAGGATAAGTTATTGCATCTTGCTGCTCCCACAACTAAAAAGGAGACACAATGCCTAGTGGGCCTCTTTGGATTTTGGAGGTAACATATTCCTCATTTGGGTGTGCTACTCTGGCCTATTTATCAAGTGACTCAAAAAGCTGCTAGTTTTGAGTGGGGACCAGAACAAGAGAAGGCTCTGCAACAGGTTCAGGCTGCTGTGCAAGCTGCTCTGCCACTTAGGCCGTATGATCCAGCTGATTCAATGGTGCTTGAAGTGTCAGTGGCAGATAGAGATGCTGTTTGGAGTCTTTGGCAGGCCCCTATTGGTGAATCACAGTGCAGACCCTTAGGATTTTGGAGCAAATCTCTGCCATCCTCTGCAGATAACTACTCTCCTTTTGAGAAACAACTTTTGGCTTGTTACTGGGCCTTAGTAGAGACTAAACACTTAACCATGGGACATCAAGTCACCATGCAGCCTGAGCTGCCCGTCATGAACTGAGTGTTGTCTGACCCACAGAGTCCTAAAGTTGGACATGCACAGCAGCACTCCATCATTAAATGGAAGTGGTATATTCAAGATTGGGACTTAGCAGGACCCGAAGGCACAAGTAAGTTGCATGAGGAAGTGGCCCAAATGCCCATGGTCTCCACTCCTATCACGTTACCTTCTATCTCCCAGTCTGCATCTATTGCGTCATGGGAAGTTCCTTACAATGAGTTGACTGAAGAAGAGAAAACTTGTGCCTGGTTTACAGGTGGTTCTGCACGATATGCAGGCACCACTAGAAAGTGGACTTCGGCAGCACTACGGCCCCTTTCTGGGACCTCCCTGAAGGACAGTGGTGAAGGGAAATCCTCTCAACGGGCAGAACTTTGAGCAGTACACCTGGTTGTTCACTTTGCCTGGAAGGAGAAATGGCCAGATGTGTGACTGTATACTGATTCATGGGCTATGGCCAATGGTTTGGCTGGATGGTCAAGGACTTGGAAGGAATATGATTGGAAAATTGGAGGCAAGGATTTATGGGGAAGAGGTATGTGGATAGACCTCTCCGAATTGGCCAAAGAAGTGAAGATATTTGTGTCTCATGTGAATGCTCACCAAAGGGTGACCTCAGCAGAGGACGATTTTAACAATCAAGTGGATAGGATGATGTGTTCTGTGGAAACCACTCGTCTTCTTTCCCCAGCTACTCCCGTCATTGTTCAATGGGCTCATGAACAAAGTGGCCATGGTGGCAGAGATGGAGGTTATGCATGTGCCCAGTAGCATGGACTTCCACTCACCAAGGCTGACTTGGCTATAGCCACTGCTGAATGCCCAATCTGCCAGCAGCAGAGACCAACACTGAGTCCTCGATATGGCACCATCCCTCGAGGTGATCAGCCAGCAACCTGGTGGGAAAGTGATTACATTAGACCACTTCCATCATGGCAAGGGCAGTGTTTTGTCCTTACTGGAATAGACACTCTGGATATGGATTTGCCTTCCCTGCATGTAATGTTTCTGCCAAAACTACCATCTGTGGACTTACAGAAAGCCTTATCCACCATCATGGTATCCCACACAGCAGTACCTCATATCAAGGGACTCACTTCACAGCAAATGAAGTGCGGCAGTGGGCCCATGCTCATGGAATTCACTGGTCTTACCATGTTCCCCATCATCCTGAAGCAGCTGGCTTGATAGAACGATGGAATAGCCTTCTAAAGACACAAATATGGCACCAGCTAGGTGGCAATACCTTGCAGGGTTGGGGAGGCTGTATATTGCTCTAAACTAGCATCCAATATATGGTGCTGTTTCTCCAATAGCTAGGATTCATGGGTCCAGGAATCAAGAGGTGGAAATGGGAGTGGCACCACTCACTATTACCCCTAGTGACCCACTTGCAAGATTTTTGCTTCCTGTCCCCATGACCTTCTGCTATGCAGGCCTAGAGGTTTTAGTTCCGAAGGGAGGAATGCTCCCACCTGGAGACACATCACTGATTCCATTGAACTGGAAGTTAAGAATGCCACCTGGCCACTTTGGGCTCCTTATGCCTCAGGATCAACAGGCAAAGAAGGGAGTTACCATACTGGCTCATGTGATTGATCCTGATTACCAAGAGGAAATGGATTGGTATTATATAATGGAGGTAAAGAAGAGTATGTCTGGAATGCAGGAGATTCCTTAGGACGTCTCTGAGTACTACTATGCCCTGTGATTAAAGTCAATGGAAAACTACAGCAACCTAATTCTAACATGACTACTAATGACCCAGACCCTTCAGGAATGAAGGTTTGGGTCACCCCACCAGGCAAAAAACCATGACCAGCAGAGGTGCTTACTGAGGGCAAAGGGAATACAGAAGGGGTGGTGGAAGAAGGTAGTTCTAAATACCAGCTATGGCCACGTGACCAATTGCAGAAACAGGTACTGTAATTGTTATCAGTATTTCCGCTTTGCATGTGTGCATCAAATATTTTTGTTTCCTTCGCTAATAAAATATACGATGTAAATGGGGCTAGTGCATTTTCCGTTGTACACATGTTAGTTGTATCATGTTAGGCTCAAGTATGACTTTCTCATTGTCTTTATTCAGAGATTATGTATGGTTTCAGGAGATGTGTACATGTGCCAAGTTGACAAGGGGTGGACTGTGATGGTTAAGATTGTGTGTCAACTTGGCTGGGCCATGATTCTCAGTGTTTAAATGTGATCACTCCTATGATTGAATGTACTGTGAGTAGCCAGTCAGATGAAAGGGAGTTTCCTTGGGGGAGTGGTCTGCATCTGAATGTAAGCAGATGTTCTGGCTTTTTGCTCTGTCTGGATCCTGCGGCTGCCTCTTGTCGTCTCATCTCTAGTTCTTGGGACTTGAACTGTCAGCTTTTCTGCCAAATTTGGGATTCGTCAATCTTCACAGCCTGTGAGCAGAGCCCTGCTCTCTGACCTCCCGATCTTGGGCTCACCAGCTTCTGTGGCTGTGTGACTTGGGAAAGCCCTCTACTCTGATCCACAGACTTGGGACATTCTAGCCTCTACAATCGCGTGAGCTGTTTCCTTGATATAAATCCCCCTCTATATTTAATTTATACGCTCTACTGGTTTTGCTTCTCTAGAGAACCCAGCCTAAGACAGCATGTTAGAGGACAGCAAGGAGTGAAGTTGGCACATGGGGAGCAACTGGGAGAGTAATAAGAAACAAGGTCAGAAAGGTCATCATCAGAGAGTTCATGCAGGGCCATTTTAAAATCTAGTCACTCTGGCTAGAAAGGAATTGGATTTTATTCCATATGTGATAGGAAGCTACTGAAGCTAAGAGAGCCAGATGGAATATGATCTGATTTCCAACAATAATAACAGTAATGATAGTACATGTTATTTATTGAATACTTACAGTGTTCCAGGCATTCTGCTAAAACTTTTCATGGTTTATCATATTTAATTTTTGCAAGGTTGAGGTTTTGTAAAGCTTAAATGAGACACTGTCACAATCTCCTGCTCAGATGCTTGTTCCTCTCTCCACTTAATCACCACCTCTCTGTGTCATGCGGGTATGAGAAATGATGGTCTTTTATGGACAGTCTAATAAATTATACAGTAAAACAGCGAAAGCCAGAACCTGTGTAAGGTGGAAATCTGTCAGAGAAGAGCTCAAATATTTTCCACTAATAGACAGTGATAGAAAAGTGGTAGGACTGTACCTTGTCAAAGGCTGAAAACTTGTGAGACCTGGAAAAAAAGACAGTCCTGTCAAGTTGAGGCTGTCATAGATTTCACTGTATTTGTTTGTTCACACAATAAGCACAGACTACTGTGGAGTTTAGACAGGTGAGCAAGTCATGCTTTCTGAGTTCTAGGAGCCTCTAATAGGTTTTTACTAACTTACCAACATGTTGACCAATTCTTTCTACCTGCAAGTGCACTCAAGTAGTAAAATGCAAAAATTAGCATTTCTTGCCAAATCGCTCAACATTCTAGGACAGAAGCTGTTTTAATTCTAGCCTATGAAAACTGACTTAGTTTCCCCTCAAGCTAGGAAAAAAGACAAAAATAAGAGTCAGCTTTCTTTATCATACAAATAATTACTTGATAGTAGAAATAGTGTGGTTATTTCTAATTGATATATTATGTACTTTGCATTAGGGAATGACTAATCAATTGCTGACGTTTGAACTGTTTTTATGGTTTGTGAATGGATGTCTAATAACATAAATGCAGATATTATGGCTAATTATAGACAAGCAATTGCTTTATTGGCATTTTACTAACAGATAATTGTTATACAGGGCATGGATTCATGTGGTATCAAGGACTTGGTTTTGTTTGGGAAAACCAATGAATGGCTACAAGAATGAATGCAAGAACTAAAGCACAATAGAGATACTGAAAATGCTTTTGATTAATATTTAAATCATTTTGTTTTCTTCCCAGGTTATTCATCATTCTATTACTTGTCACCAGCATTCTGTGGGTCCCATTGTTACAGGTATCTCAAAATGGACAACTATTCCATTATACAGCATCAATTTCCTAGCTACCTTGGGCCTCCATTGGCAGCTGTCTTTCTACTTGCGGTCTTCTGTAAGAGAGTCAATGAACAGGTAACTGAAAATTGGGGAACTCTTTCCCTGCAGAAGTGAAAAAAATTGTTTATTTCTCCGGGATAGTAAAATACGTCCTTTTCACCCTATTTATACCCCTCAAATCCTATCTCAACATTTGGTTTCAGTCAGCCACAATTCCTGATTCTCTCTAAAGTGTATAACTATACAACGCACACCCATAGTATGGTGTTAACATTCGTACAAAATACTATGTACATATATGGCACAGTGCTGAACAATACAGATTTTGACATCAGATTGCCAGGGTCCAATCCTGGCTCTGCTATCTTAGTAGCATTGTGATCTTAAGCAAATCACTTATCTCTCTGTGTCTCAGTTTCCTTATCTGTAAAGTGAAGATAATTGTACCTATTTTATGGGGTAGTTGTGAGAATTTTTTGAGATAAAATATATAAAGGGTTTAGAAGGAGGCCTAACACACTAATAATTGTTCAAATATATTAATTACTGTTATATGTGTGTGTGTGTGTATATATATATATATATATTTGGTTAATTAATTATTAGAAACCATTATGAAGTCCCTAGCTGGGACAAATGGTTAAGCACCCACCCCGTGGAACCTTAGAAGACAGGCCCGGCAGTCTGCTTTCAAAAGGTCACAGCCTTGAAAACTTTATGGAATACAATTCTACTCTGACACGCATGGGGTCACACGCATCAGAATTGATTCTACAGCAACTAACACCATAGTACATGTATATTTAATCTCTTAATTGTTCCTAGATGTTAGCCTTACTTTTATAATTTTCATATGAGAAACAGGTTCAAAGGGGTTAATATCTCTGTGCTTTGGAATTCAAACTCAGGCCTTCCTACATAAAATGCTCATATTCTTCACCTCCATACAGTATTGCTTCCCTTAAACATAACATATTGAACAGGGTAAGAGGGGGCACATGTTTTCACCCCCATCAGCTTCTCAGAGAAATAAGAGCTTGCACTTGTCAACAGCTTAATGGAACTGTTAAAATACCTAATATCAACGTTGTAAAATGTGTAACATTAGTCATAGTTTTATTTTATTATATATAATAACTCGTAAGTTCTTAAAATCTGTATATAAAAGTCAAGGAAAACTTCAGCTTGGGTCAGGGTAGACAGGGGTGTTGTGGATTTGGAGAAGCAACAGAGCAATGATGTTTCAGGACCAAAGAGAGTAACAACCTACTCATATAACATGTTTTTGTTATTTTCCCTGCCTTGGTAACCTTGTGCTTAAAGTTAGCTGTGTGTCGATCCTTAGGCAGGGTGATAATTATGAGTTACTATAATGAATTTCTCATCCTTTCTAAAAACTCTGATTTTGTTCTTTTTTCTTTTGCAGGGAGCCTTCTGGGGTCTAATCATTGGACTTGTGATTGGCCTTATCCCTATGATTGCAGAACTTGTCTATGGAACAGGGAGTTGCTTGGCTCCCAGTGACTGTCCTAAGATTATCTGTGGAGTGCACTATCTGTATTTTGCAGTCATCATCTTTTTTTTTTTTAAATATTTT